GGAAAAAATGATGAAACATCTCTTTGGTAGTGTCTTGTCAAGATCAATGCCGATTACTTGTGTTCCTAATTGTGCGTAAATCTTTCTGAAGGTGGACGAAAGGGCAGTGCTAAAGCACTTTGATTGGCCAGAGAAGAAGGCTGACACTTTAAGAGAAGCAGCATTCGGATACAGAGATTTAAAGAAACTGGAATCTGAAGTTTCCTACTACAAAGATGATCCAAGAATTCCTTGTGATATTGCTCTAAAGAAAATGGTTGCTTTGTCTGAGAAGTAAGTTGTGCTGGCTTTCTTTCTATGATCCCTTTTATTTTTCTCCGATTTTTACTTTCGAAATATTAAGAAATCTTTAAGCCACAAATATTTAAAAGTTTTATTTACATCTTTAGGATGGAGCGTAGTGTTTACAATCTCCACAGAACTAGAGAATCATTGATGCGTAGCTGCAAGGAATTTCAAATTCCCACGGACTGGATGCTCGACAATGGCAGCATAAGTAAGGTAAAGATATGACTGTGGTTTCATGGTTTTGCTTGGGAAAGACTTAGGTAGACCGACAATCTAGCGTTAACTCTCTTAATGACTAATGTGGATTATATAAGCACAGATTAAGTTTGCTTCAGTCAAATTGGCAAAGAAGTACATGAAGAGGGTGGCAATGGAACTTCATTCAAAGGCAGCATCAGAGAAAGATCCTTCAATGGATTATATGCTACTCCAAGGAGTACGATTTGCTTTCAGAATTCACCAGGTTTGTAGAATGACAAACCATTATCCAATCAAGCCCGAGTTTCCTTCTTCATTTTGGTAGTTAAAAACTAGATTCTAGAAAGTAAACCTAATTATGGGATTTTAGCGTCCAAAACATTCAAAAGATTGAAAATGAAGGACCTTGTTGGCAGTATAAATTTTTTGGTATTCTTTCTTATGCTTGTGTCAATGAGTTGATAGGCCGGATTCGTAATGTGATTACTTCAGTTTTCTAGTAGGAATGTATTGAATTTCTCTTCGAGTCATATATAGTGTCTTTCCTCTAGAAAAATCAGTCATAAATCTATATTCGATATGGATCAGAATTAAATATTCACTAAATTTAGGATGTTAAAATATTTTAATGTTATCACTTTCTAGAATTTAGAGGGTTATTAGACTGATACTCGAGAAATGTTTTTCACTAAAGAGTTTAGTATCATAAGACAAAAGACCTCAATGAGACATGATATTTGAATAATTAGTAAGAACTCTTGAAATTTTCAAATATGAGAAACGAAGATTCTTGTCGAATGATTCAATACAGTTCGGAATGTTGATTGGTTTCTGCTTGTTGCAGTTTGCAGGAGGATTCGATGCAGAAACAATGCATGCATTTGAGGAACTTCGGAACCTTGCCAATCTTCTTAACAAATGTAAATAGAGAAGAGGGTCGGTCAGGAAGAGTTTTGGTTTTACAGTCTCAGT